TTTATAGGGTAACAAATCTAGATTATAATATAACTTTAAACTAAATACACAAACTACTAATCATTTTATCAATTTTTTCCCCACAATAACTTCCTCTAAAATTACCCATAAGCATGGGGTGGCAATTCTCTAAATATATCTCAGTATCCACACAACATATACCAAGTTACAAAACTGCAACCCTATAGTTTTCATCAATATATATTTAGTCATATATTACCTCGCAACTATCACTAATCAGTCATATACTACCGTAATAATATATAATACTAATATATAATACATATATATTAATAATAGATATATATATATATATATATATATATATATATATATATATTACCACACTAAAAAATAGTACAATTATAATCATCCTGACATCCTATCACTAAAAGACTCAATTACCTCAAAGGTTGTCACCTTGATAAAAGATCAATTTTTTTTTCCCGAACTCATCTTCATTGGGAGAACCTTAATTGGAAGATAAATTTAATGAATCCTCCATCTTTCATCTTGAAATCTCTATGACACATCCCAACAAATTCAAGCATAGTAACTCTTTAGGTCTATACAACAAAGAATAAGCCCAACTAAAATCTCCAATAAGCTCAAGAATTAGAACAATTATCAAATGATAATGATCTCTCATCATTACTTGTATACCATCTCCCATGAACGTCCTTTCAAAAAATTTTAATATATATTAGTCCTTTCTTAAAAATATCACCAATTTCAGTATAATACAAAAAATCCTACTTTAGACACTTAAAAGCAGAATTGGAAAGATATCAGGATAGAAAAGATGAATGCCTGGAAAAAATTACATTTGAAAAATCGTTGAGTTACCAAAAGAAAAAAAAAAGTACAGTATAAGTAGATTTTTTCTATAAAATAAAGAGCAAAAAGTAGTCTGGAACAACACAAAATAGGCTTAGAAGCCAAAGAATATACTTAATCCTATAGAATTGACTACCAAAAAATTATGCTGCTCATATTATAAAAATGAGTAAAATTGGCATTATAATTTCTCTAGCTGTTAATTTTAGATGGCCAATGCACTAATATAATGCGAAGTATATTTTCTAACATAGAGATGTTGAAAACTCATTTTGAAGTGCATTAAAGATGAAGATCAAAAAATGCTTTTATTAGAAGATAGATATTCAACAAAGATAGATGAGATATTTTGATAAGCTTTTCAATAATTAACTTTAGTGACCTTAGCATCATGAATGAAAATAAAAAAAAAATTATTTTTATCGGCGCAATAGTAAAACCGAAGTTAGAGAAACTTTAAAGAAAATGAAGTGCGGAGAAATTATTGGATTTGATGATATTTCAATAGAGGTATGAAAATGCTTAGGAGATCAAATTTTTTATCTTACGAAAATTTTTAATATTGTTTTGAAGACAAAAGATATCAGATGAGTGGAGAATGAGTGTGTTAATTCTTATTTTTAAGAATAAAATTGATGCACATAATTGTGCAAATTATAGAGGCATTAAGTTAATATGTCATACTTTAAAACTATGGGAGTGAGTTATTGAGCATATGTTACAATGTGATACTAATGTTTCTCAAAATCAATTTGGATTCATGCCGGATAGGTATATTATGGAAGCTATACATTTATTGAGAGGTTTGATGGAGAAGTATAGAGAGAATATGAAATATTTACATATGATATTTATTGATTTAGAGAAAGCATATGACAAAGTTCGAAGAGAAGTTCTATGGAGAGTTCTAGAAAATTAATGGGTTAATAATGCTTATATTTAATTCATAAAGGATATGTATGCATGAGCTATTACTTCTTCAAACATAAGGTGGTTTGACTAAGTATTTTTCCTATCTCAATTAGATTACATCAAGGATCATCCCTAAGCCCATAACTTTTTTTCTTTAGTCATGGATGTTCTTACTAGACATTTGTAGGAGGATGTACCCTAGTCTATGCTTTTTGTTGATGATATTTTCTTGTTGAAAAGACTAGAGAGGGAGCTGAAGGAAAACTTCAATTATATAGGTCAACCTTAGATTCTAATGGTTTTCATTTGAGTAGATCTAAAATCGAATACATGGAATGTAATTCTAGTAGTAATAGATATAGTGGGGGGATTATGACTTTGGGCGATCAAGTTATTAATAAAAGTACACGTTTTAGATATCTCGAGTCTATTGTTCAGAGAGATGGTGAAATAGATGGGGATAATATTAGTAGAATTCAAGTTGAATGGTTGAAGTGGAGCTGTGGAGGAATGCATTGGGCTTGTTGTGTGATAGAAAAGTACCCCTCAAACTTAAGGGAAAATTCTATAAGATGGTGGTGAGATCTATAATGCTTTATGGTGCAGAATGTTGGTCATTAAAAGAGTAGCATAATATTAAGTGTTGCAGAGATGAGCATGCTTAGGTGGATGAGTGGCTTTACTCTTAGAGACAGAATACCAAATGAGCATGTATGTAAAAAGGTTGGAGTAGCTCCAGTCGTAGATAAGATTAAAGTGAGCCACCTTAGATGGTGTGGTTACATAAAGCGTCGGACTTTCGATGACCTAGTTAGGAGAGTAGATGTATTGATTTGACTTATGTTGTTAAGAAAGATAGAGGTAGACCTAAAAAGACATGGTTAGAAAATATTAGAAACGACCTTTTTTTATTAGATTTAAATGAGAATTTAACTCTTAATATGACACAATGGATAAAAGGATTCATGTAGCATACCCCATGTAGTGGAATAAAGGCTTGATGTAATTGTTGTATAGAAGAGATGTTGAAGATGCCTATATGGATCAACCACCATGATTCGATAGCTCCTTAAAGAACAATGTATGAAAATTAAAGAATGCATTATATGGACTTTAACAATCCCCAAAACATGGTTTGGCATATTTACAAAATCCATGACTAGGGCTGAATATAAACAAAGCCAAGGAGATCATAAACTCTTCATAAAGCATTCTATCGATGGCAAACTTTCAATCATCACTATCAATGTTAATGATTTAATTGTTACAGGTAATGACAATAAAAAAAAGAAGACTCTTAAGAAGAAAACTTATTGAAATTTTTAGGATTAAAAAGTCTGGTGAAGTAAAATACTTTTTTATTATCAAAGTTTCTCGATCAGAGCAAAGAATGTTCCTCTCAGTCAAAAATATCATGGATATACTGAAAGAAATAAAAATGACTGACTGTAAATCTTATGAAACTCCAATAAAACAAGGTCAAAACTTGGACGTACATAAAAAAGGGACAAATGTATAAATGGGAAAATATCAAAGATTAGTTGGAAAACTAATCTATCTATCTCACACCCATCCAGACATAACATTCATTGTAAGTCTCATTAGTCAATTTATGTACAAACCCAAGGAGCCTCCCTTTAAGTTACTTATAGAGTATTCAAATAGCTTAAATCAAGTCGCATAAAATAAATTTTTTACAAAAAGAAATATATGTTACAAATTGAAGGATATACTAACGCAAACTATGCAAGATCACCAATGAACATAATATCCACTTCAAAAAATTGTATGTTTTTTTAGGAAACCTCATACAATGAAGTAGTAAGAAACAATCTATCGTTTCAGAACAAGTGCTGAATCTAAACCAAGGGAAATTGCTTAAGATATATATGAGCTCCTTTAGATCAAAATGATTATAGAAAACTTATAAATTAGGTGGGAAGAGCCAATAAAAATATACTGTGATAAGAAATTTGTCATCAATATTGCTCCTATTCCAATACAACACGAGTGCACCAAACATGTGGAGGTGGATAGTAATGTCATTAAAAAGTTACTGGTAAGTGTGTTAATACGCACTCACCATATATACTAACAAGGAGTCAACTTGCTAACATATTCACTAAATAATTCAGCAATCCCACATTCAATAATATCATATGTAAACTTGGAATTGTTGATCTATATCAATCAATTTGAGGGAAGTGTTGAAGACCACGTGTAAGACCCCGCTCCTTGGCCTCCTTCACACATCCAGGGCCAATCCGCCCTAGGGTTGGAATCTGTGGATCCTACTATGCTACCAATCATAACATGGATCCTTGAGCACACAAATTGAGAAGCTTAGCCATCAGATCACGTCTCCCTCAACCCTTAGATTGCAATCCATGTACTCAACACATAACTGCCGACCCCTCGCCCCTGCGGCCTTTGTCACACTTCTAAGGCCCATCCACCCTAAGTTTCGAATCTATGGATCATACTATGTTACCAATCATAACATGGATCCTTAATCAAAATAGATTGAAAAGTTTAGCCATTGGATCATCATCTCCCTCATAGCCCTTAGATTGCAATCCATACACTCCTCTCCTCCACATACTCATCATTGTAATATACGTAAAGTAATTTTTATAATTCTAAGGTAAATGAAGTCTTTGTAAATTCACTTTTGCAAGTAAATAAATATTTTTCTTATTTCTTGAAGGATGCAATTAATATTTAAGATTCATACATCCAATAAATAACTAAGGATAATTTGCAGTTGCAAGTAATTGGACTGTGCCCTTTTTATTTGTTAAGAAAAAATATTGCCCAAAGCTCTTGAATAAATTTGTTGAAGCAAACTATAACATTTATCACCATTAAGTCGACAAATCAGCAATAATAAGCTTATGAAGTGCAAAAACTCATTTTATTGAACAGTTTCATGTTGGGTCTACGTTAAGGATGATACATGTGCCATTTAAACAGAAGTATGGTAAAAATTAAGGAAAATGCGGGGATGGAAGGTAGATTTTAAGATTAGGGTGGGTAAGCCGGAAAGAGCACGAGGGTGGTGTTCCTAATTGGTGGAAGAAAGGCAAGTGTGGGACGATTTTGTACATAATTAGTGGAGTAAGTGTGCGTGTCCTCTGTTCATGCTGAGATATATTTTAGGAAAACCTCTCCTATTCAGACAAATATAAATTTGATGCTGCAATTTCCATTTTCATTAGACTAAAACTTGTAAGATGTAAATAGTACGAAGATTCATTTACAATACTTCAATTGATTTCTTGAAAAAACCAATGCTCAAAGACAAATTGCTTCCTTTTTGAATCTTCAAATACAAATATGCTCTTGTTTTGAAGCCAGATCAAATACACAGTACTAAGAGAATGAAAAAGAACTGAATTAGGGAAATTTTTAATAAGAGAGAAGTATTTTACCAAAAGAGATTGATTTTCTGGATTTATGTTATCCAAAAATACTCTTCGATGCAGTCTGTGTTGCTCTATCTGAGGATTTTTTGCCAAAATTTTCCGCATATCAGCTACGATGTTCTGAACATTAAAGAAAAACAAAAGGACATCAACACTTCAACTCAATGGAGAAATAAATTCAATATGAATTCGAATAGTTCTTACACTAATTTTATTAGCATCCAAATGGCTGATTGCAAGATGAGTTTTTATACGCCAATGAGTCTTCTGACTGAGATTTCTCACAACATTAACTGTAAATTTATGGTTGGGAATATGAACTGCTTCACGATCATCACCTCTTATAATTGTTGGAGACCACCAGCCAACATGCTGAAAGGATAAAAAACCATCAGATATAGTCTGAGCTAAACTGTCCAAAAGTGAAATTAAAAAACTTTTGGGCAAAGGGCGAGCGCAGAGCAGACTTGATAAACTTGAGAGAAGGTAAGATTTTTTTTTTCTTTTTATTAATATTATTAACAAATTTAATATTTTTAAATGGAATATAATATTAGAGGTTTGATAAAAGATAATGATAAATTTTTTAAGAAAATTAATATCAGGAATTAATTTATAATTATATGTATATAAGATTATATGAGTTTTTAAATTAGGAAATGAATAAATTAAATTTATATAAATTTGATTGAGAAGAATAATGAATTAAAATAAATTGTATAGAAAATGAGATATTTTACCAAATATAGAAATAGCAATAATAATTTTTTTCATGTAAAAACGAGAATTTAATTATGATTTTATATAAATTTAAATAACAAGAATAAATTTTTCGCTAAATTAAAATACAAGAACTAATTGTATATATTTAAATAATAAATAAAATTAGAGAGAGAGAGCATATGAGAGATTTCATTTAATTGAATTAAGAGTATATTCAATTAGTTAAAATGAGAATTATAACTTAAATTTTAGAGCATATAATTAAAAATATAAGAGTAATTTATAACTTAAATTTTAACGAATAAGTTTTTCATATAGGTGCTAACTCTATCAACATGGGAGTAGGGAGAAAGAGTAAAGTATATCAATACCTATGTTCAATGTGAGTATTCATGTTCCCATATTATAATAATTATATTGCTTTAAATTGCATTTTATTATTATTGCAAATGATTTATCTTATTGTTTATTCAAATTACATTGCAAATGATTTATCTCTTCTCTAGCATATCAAATGATTAAGTATGATTAGCATATTATGCTTTACATTACTGTATAAAGTTAAGAAATGTAATATGAATGAAATAGCTAGATAGATATATCTGCATGTGCATATTGACTAATGGAGTACACCCCCTTATCGTACTAACTGGGAACGTAATATAACCGTGCATGTAAATGAAAAAGATTGTGGAAAAGAAAAAAGAAATGGAAAAATAGTACTTTTATTGGTATTATTTAAATGATAGTTTCTATGACAGTTGTATTATTTATGATAAAGAATAAAGATATTGATAAAGATATGGATAAATATATGGCATGCAAAACATTGATGGTCATATATGAAATGAATTTAAATGAAATCATTTTATGTTTGGAAATGAGTGCGCATATTATTTCAAAGGCCTTGTGTTACTGTAATTTTAGAAGTATGAATTGCCGCTGAGTTATGTTATGACTCGCTCTTCTTATTGAAAAATATTTTCAGGTATAATTTAATTAACTAAAATGAGCATAATAGAAGAAAATGTGTATCGTAGGCGCGACACTCCAAGAAAAAAATATTTATATATTTTGAGGTTTTAGTGACTCTTTCTGCTTACTAGAAATGATAGTTAGTAATTAAAAATTTTAATCAACCGTCCGGCCGTCTGTTCTCACCTCATTAATTCGAGTCTACAGGTTGGGTCATGACAAAGTACGATGATGAATAGTTGTAAATACCATACTTCATCAAGAATTTTAATTACATTAGACATCAAGTAAATTTCATTAACTAACCTCAACAGTTCCGGAAACTTCATAGCCCTGAATCTTTATTTGGATCCATTCATTTAAAATAAATGGGCGTGTGGCATGAATCATGACACTTGACAAGAAGTTTGTGAATATCTGCAAAAAAATTTACCGGTATAGAAGAGTGATAAATATCCAACACAAAGGAAGATGATGATTCTACAATATGATACCTCACGTCCAGCTAGCGTCAGTAACACCGTTCCTAAACCTCCAGCTGTCAGCCATTTTTGGGTTGAAAACCCCAGTAATTCCATGAACAAAGAAAACGCAGCAATCCATACTGCAGTGTACACAGCTCTCCCACCAAATTGGAAACCCATCTGCATATAAGGAGCTAAATTTTATAAATTAAGTGTAAGCTCAAGCTACTAGCATCGGTAGATCAACTACCTTTACCATCAGTATGTAAGCGTGATGAAATATTTTAGTAGTGATGGTTTCAGACTACATTATACATTGGTATCACTAATCCTCTAGAAAGAGCATGGGTTTCACTTATTTCGTATGTATACTATCTCCCATTTCATCAAGTCAAAACATATTAAAGTCAGCTTGTACTCAGATCCAGCAGATACTTGAATATGTCAAAGCGAGATGGAAACCCCTACTCCAGTATATATCTGAAAATAGGGAAGTCCAAATGCATGGAAAGAAAAAAAACTTTACATAGCAAAAAAGAACAACTTGGTACAGCTTGTTCTTTCGTATAAAGAAATCGAAGTTAAAAAGCAGTACATCGAATTTGATCAATGTTTCTTTTACATGCATTAGCACGTGATGTTCTAGACTGTCACGCCACCTTCACCAATCCATTAAAAAAAATTTTGGATCAAAATGAACTACACAACCAATTAATAACTTAATAGCTCAAAACTCCTAAGGTGCTCATCTAGATTAGATATCAAGTAAATTTCATTTATAATTAATTAGTTAATATGCATATATATTAGTTCAGTGTGGAATCTGATTGTTTTGATCCAATTGAGTTGTACTATTTCCTCGGATCTCAATTCAGTTTGTTGAGCTCACTAGGGGGTCCTCCCCCTGCTAGAGTTCGAGTGTTTTGTTACTGATTATTTTCCATACAACTGTATAGCGTTGTGGTGCTATATAGTTTGCTTGGAGATAAATAGAGAGAAGAGCGCTACGGCGCTCCAAACCCGGGTGCTACAACGTTGTCAGGCAGAAAGATGACAAAGAGTTAAGCGTTGTGATGCTATAAACCTGACGCCTCAACGCTGCGAGATAGGCTGAAAGTTTTTTTACTCGTTTTTTATTGCCTCATCAGAGCCGTTCTTCTTCATAAAGAATTTCTGAGCCTGTTGAATTAAGCTGCACAAGATGAACATAATGTGGTTTCAACAAGTGATAATGAAAGAAAATCATGAATAGTTCACACCTTACATAATAAAAAAAGGTTTAGGAGAGATGGATTCAAGAGCCTTGGACAGAAAAATTAACAAATAAATGTTGTCTTTCAAAACCCCATCGTTTCTGGATTCAAGAGCCTTATGATGTAGGAACATCATAGCTAATATTAAGCTTAAGGACTAGCCTACCTTTCATGCTCTAGATAGTTCTATTTTGCTCTATAAATAGTTAGCTAATGTAAAGGATTGGGATCATTGAATGAATATTACTCTCTTTTAAAACTTTGAAGCTTTTTGTTTCCCTTCTTCCCTGGATTGGGATCGAAATCTTTCTTGCAGATCGATTCTTCCGACGATCCACTACATCAGTTGATATCAGAGCCTGGAGCTTGCGAAGATCAATGAACTGCAGAAGAAGGTCGGCTGTCGACGACGATCGAAGCCGCAGAATAAGATTGGCGGTCGACGACGATCGACACCGAGGAAGGTGGGCTGTAGACGATGTTCGAAGCCGGATCGCCTTCTATCAAGCTCAAGCAAAGGAATCACTCGATTGGGTAGACAGAAACCTTGATTGGATAGACAAAAACCTTCAGGCAATAAGGAAGATGTGAATGTCGTCGGCAACCATACCGAGGTATTCGTCTTCTTCTTCTCTCCTCTCGTCCCGCCATTTTCCCACCATTGTTAATGATTACCCTCCGCTCGAACTCCCTCTTCGATGGCGCGATCCGCCGCCGAAGTATCCGCCGCTCGAGCGTCCAATGCGATGGCGAGATCCTTCGCCCGATTGCGCAGTTCACAACCATCCCGGGGCCGTCTTCAGCGATTCGTATCCGTCCCAGCATCATCCGCCTCCCGTCTCTCACGATCATTCCATTCAAGGCGAAATCTGCTCCAACTTAGGATCGTGCGGTTCTGCCGCTGTTTACGATCAGACCAACTCCCACGAGCGACCCACGTCCAGCGCTCCACCGCCATCGCCAGCGGTTGATTCTGCGATTAACACTCTGCCTGACCTGACCGCTCCTGCAAACAATCTTTCTGTCGCCCAAATCATCCATCCGCATGAACTCCCTAACCCGCATAATGTCATTTCTGATCCAAGCATTCATTTTGATTCCGTTGTTGCTAATCTGCCTTTACCGCACACAAAGACAGAACCACCGCTTTCGCTGTCGATCAGCTCCCGTGATACCAACTCTGCGAAGCAATACCACTCTGTCTCCGCCAACCTTAATTCCGCCTTCAGATCTACCGGCTGCTTTTCCTCAATCCAGCTCAATGTTGCTCTCGTATCCACGGACCGAGCAGAACCACAGCTCGACGTCGATTTCAACTCCACAGTCGATCCCAAGGAGTGCAACCAATCCGACATTATGCAAGAATCGGGCAGCAGCTTTGCTGAAGAAGACTCCAATTCAAACACCCAGCACTTCGACACGTTCGTTCCTGAGGCTGAAACTTCTTCAGACGTTCACCGGCGGCCCACTACTGCGGCAGAAAGCTCCGCCGCTGCCAACTCGGATCATTCTGAGAACTTGAAGGCCCTGGATCACCACCATCGCTGGCCGGTGGCCAGAAGCAGGCAGTCGAGTATGCTGACCAAGAGCCTGGATTGCTCAGCTGAAAGGAATGAGCTTAAATCCACTATCCAGTTACTGCGGCAGCCAGTGTTATTAGACGTTGGCTCTAGCAGGGCTTTATTTGAAAGCGCGAAGCTCTCGGCTTCTTCAGACACGGATAGTGTTTCTTCCGGAAGTAATTCGGGGACTCCTGAGCTGAATGTACCTCAGCATGTTCGGGTCACCTCCCACGGGAGTAGCGTGTCTGCTAGATTTTGGCAAGAGACAAATAGCAGGCTTCGCAGGCAGCCGGAGATTGGGACTCTGGTATCTTCAGTTGGCTCAAAGAGCCCAAGCATTCAGTGTGGGGATGCTACTTCTACCATGTCCATCCAACCTCTAGTTCAGGAAGTCTTGGATAGTGGTTGGGTGGAAGCTCCTATGGCATTAGCGGATTAGATTGCTAAGAGAAATGATCGGCATTTGATGGATCATGGAGGTGGGGAGACTGAGTTAAATGACAACTACAATATTGGTATTGGGAATGTTTTCCCTGCAGGTGTGAAAATGTCTGGTCTGAATTCGATTGACAAAGTTGATTCAGTGCAATGCATCCAAACTGTTCGACGAAATGTCACTGAAGGTTACGATCCCAACTTGAGAGGCTGGAGGAGGTTGTGTAGAAATTTGATAAAGTTCAACTGAGATTAGTACTTCTCTTCATCTATTAGAAAGCACAAAGCAAGAGCAGCAGCATTAGTTGTACAAAGCATGTGAAGTTGCATCCTTGCCTATAAATGATCTCATCGGTAGAGGCAAGGACAAGGAGTTTGTTATGCAGTGGCTAAGGAACCCATCAAATGAGCGTCCTGGAACTGATTTGTACATAAACATTTCTCTTCTAGCTATAGTGGGGCATGGTGTTATGGAAAGACAATTCTATTGCAACAGGTCTATGAAGATGAAATGATAAAGGAATTTGATCTTAAAAAATGGGTTTGTGTATTCAGCAACTTTGATGAGTACAAAATCATTGCAGATATGTTGAAATCTCTTAAAATGAGCAGACCTCCTTTGGATACACTTTATGCATTTCAAAAGAATCTCAAATATGAGATAATATCATAAGGGTTCTTACTTGTGCGGGATGACATGTGGGATGAAAAGGAGGAACGGAACAAAACTAAATGGGAGAATGTGCTCGCCTCTCTATCTTGTGGAATTTGGGAAAGGGATTGGTTCTGTGCCGAGAACTCATATTCACCAACCAATTGGAAAATTGAAATGCTAGTTCAGTTCAAGGATTCCAAAGTTGAACCTCCTCACTTGGATTGGAGGAAGCCTCTTCATGTGGTAATTTTAAAGTCTGCATTCAAAGTCTTCGATCCAGAAATTTGTTTTTCACCCTACCTCCCTTCTAATAACGTGCCTCGACGGAGTCAAGCTTTTTGTCACAAGGGGAGAATGATGTAGGAACATCATAGCTAATATTAAGCTTAAGGACTAGCCTACCTTTCATGCTCTAGATAGTTCTATTTTGCTCTATAAATAGTTAGCTAATGTAATGGATTGGGATCATTGAATGAATATTACTCTCTTTTAAAGCTTTGAAGCTTTGTGTTTGCCTTCTTTCCTGGATTGGGATCGAAATCCTTCTTACAGGTCGATTCTTCCGACGATCCACTACATCACCTTAGGACAGAAAAAATGACAAATAAAAGTTGTCTATCAAAACCCTAAGATTAGAAATTGGCATGCCAGCCTATGATGTGTATGAACAAAAGAGTAGAGGCGGACATGTAAATAAGCAAGCAAGAAAAAATAGGATGTAAGAACGAAGACAAGAACCAAAAGGGACAACACTATTCTGAACAAAGTTCCAAGTTGCAAGTCCAATAGTTAAGAGAGGTTCACCAAAAAAACATATTGTGGTTATATTGAATACATCAATCAAACATCAAAGGTCTAATTTAAGAAACAAAAAAAAAATTCTTACCTTGAAAGACAACATGCAAAAGCCAGCACAGTGGATGACGATCTTACAAAAGTTAGAAGGCGTTGCTTGACACCTTCATTCACTTCTGATGGCAAAACAATAGAATCCATTGTCCTATTAAATGCAAAAACAACAAATTTTATATACAAATTTCAAAAATAATTAGTAATTATAAATGGGTGGATGTTAAATTTTCAACATGCCTGCAGGCCAATATTGTTCCAGTCCAAAGAAGTACTGGCTGAACATAAGAGTCAAAGATGAAATGTGTTCCAGCCTTTTTCCTCTTATTGTCATTCTGCAGAAGAGTAATGACCAATTGTTTTTTATATTTTTTTCAATATAAAACTTCAGAAGAAACTTTAATAGATCAGTCAATTTTATGCCTCTAAGGCGGACCAGTCAAAACCATATCAGCCTAAGATACATACATGAAAGATATTCCTTACATAACGCATGACTTGCCCAATACCCCATAAAGAAAAGGCGATGACTCCAATTGCTGGAGCTAATCTGAGCGGGGTAGAACTTCCAAGTAAAGCGTTAAATGACCTGTAAAAACAATTTATAACAGTTTGATATCTTATTTTGCAAAGAAAAAGGAAGCCCTGGCATATCAGTTCAAAGTTCCGGTTTATGAAACAAGTCTTTATCATTACTTGACGTGGGGAGTCTAGAGTAATAATTCACCAATTTCGAATTTTTCATTTATTTTTTAGAATCTACTTCATGACAGTGTCTACCTTTTAATAATTAACCAAAAATATAGAATAAATAGTTTAAGGTGATTAGTGGGTTAATCACTTCAACAAGATATAAAATTGAGTTAATCACTTCAAGAAGATCCACAAAATTGTTCAGATTAATTTAACAAAATTTCCTAATTTTTATGAAATTATAAATTAGCTTCAAATTCTTTTATAAAAAAGAAATAAAAGGGGTTAATGGGCCAGGTTGGACGTGACCAGGTACTGTGGATCCTCTTCCACGCCAGGCCATGAATTAGATCCCAATGCAACTGCCTCTCAGGCCATCTCCAACCGAACGGAAGTCTTCGGTTTGTAGTAGCCCAAACAACAAACTGAATGTCATTTTTGTGTTTTGAATAGTGCGACGCCAGCGTTGCACTGCTCACAACGGGGCATCATGCTATTCACAGTGGAGAGAAAATGCAAAATACGTTTATGGTTGGCGTTCGGGTGAAGACTCACGGCAACTGCAAATAAGAGAGGTGAATGACGTTTGATTTGGCTAGAGATGCCCTCAAGAATTCCAGTCACTTCATCTCGCTTCATTGGGTTCATTGGTTTCCTTTGAAGCATCTTGGCACATTGCACCACTATCCAGCATTGCATCACTATCTGCCATATTGATATCAGCCCAGCAACCGCAAACATGTTATCAAACTTCTATAAGTGCCAACAAAGCAAATGCTTGAAAGGGAACAAACAAACATTCACCTTACCACCAGTCTGTGACTCTGGAATGCCAAATAATGATCCCAGTAAGCTCATTATTTTTCTCAATCACATCAAATAAACCTTCACAGCTTTTTTGAGCTTGCTAAGCCTCCTCTTAGTCACCATTGCAACCAAAAGGCACTCAAGTTACCTTAAATTCCTAAGATCTCTCATGAGTGCTAGTAAGTTTCCTAAGCTTCACCACTTTGTTTTTCTCCTCCACCTCTTTGTGACTCCTAAATGATATGTTATGCGTTCTAGAAGTTCCCTAAGTTTTACCACTTCGTTTTCCTCCCTTGCCTCTTTGTGATTTCTCAATTGTGTTAGTCGATCCTTCCATGGTATTCCATGATCACCAAAAACCTTCCTTGACCTTAAATTGCTTCTATTGCCTCCCGAGGAAGCCAAAAATAACCCTGATGGTCATCAGCCTACTATGCTCAATCCTAGCCCACTCCCTAAATTGCCTGGAGATTATAGACAAGCCATGTGGTCGGCTCCCATCTGACAATCAATCTTCAATTGCCACATAAGCAAGTAGGCTCTTCATCTTTCTTTTCTCACTCAGTAAACACATGGACCAATCTAATGGCATTGTCAAGGGAGGCCTTCTAGGAGTGTGCATTCGGTTTATTTGTAGGGTTTGGTTGATGAATTAAATCAATCAATTAATTTTTGATCCACCATAAAAAAAATCAAAACCGGCCAAACTCTGGACCAGACCAAATAGGAGTTGCTTTGGTTTGTTTTATTTGGCTTGGTTAAATAGAAATCGTCCGTTTCGGCAAAAATCACATAATAAAGTAATTTAGTGTAACACCCAAAGACCTAAATTAAAAGAATTATTTATTTTCTCTCTTAGTTAATCTACCAGAGCCTCTAATCTTTATTTAATTCAAAAGTAGAGCCATTGGGACCAAATCTATACATCAAAATCTTTCACTATTTTCATTCAACAAAATCTGATTTACAATAGTCAGGAGATCACTTATATAAATATGTCTATCTTAAAGCTTCTTACAACAAAAGAATAAAATAAAATACTAAAAATAAAACATAATATTCCAATTAGTCTTACTCAACTAGGTCCTGACCCCTTCCTTGACCTGAAATCAATAAAATTCATATAATAAGCTCAAAGAGCTCATCAAAGCTTTCAATGCAAGATCTTGGAAATTAACATGTATGTTTGTTTCAACCAATAACATCAATAGCTTTCAATAAAATCAATGATCAGTCATAAGTGATACGAATCAATATGATCAGTAAGAGAGAAAACAAAAATCTTTACACTAAAATATATAAATCTTTAATATATCTATATTGAATAAATGCATCAGTGTTGTATTCAGTTATTCTATATTATCATTCTGTCAATGAGATAAAAATTATGAATGTACATGTGCCACCACATCAATATGCCATGTATCGGTATTGCTGCCATATGCCTGCTATGTCAGTATAAATAATCTATGAAATCATGAATGTTGTATATGTTATGATGTATGTGCCACATCAATATTTTTTGCTGGTTGTTGTGCAAAATGATTGTTGCATTATGTTTCTCATGGATGGAAATTCTACTCAAGTGTTAAGATAATATTTAATCATCTTCAACAGCAAAGTCTTTCAAAAGGCAAAGGATTTTTGTAGGATTTTATATGACGGTTATATGCAAAGAAATAGCACTCGCATAACTATCTTCGCTCAAGTTAGCTCTTATAACAAAGAACAGAAAATTGCGACTTCATATATGCATGAGAATACAAATAAAACTTGAAAATAATACAATAAGAATTAAATTATAACATATGGATGTCAATGAAGCTGCTCAAGTCAACATTAATGTTCATATAAAAACCAAGAGCCTATTGGAAGCACACACCTTATTGTGGTCTTGCTCATTGTCTTTGAGAATGGTGATTTTATTTTTATTTTATAGTTGCATTGAATTTGAAAACAACTTTTATGCAAGCAGGGAAAGTGCTTTATGTTAATCCCTTTTAAAAAAACATTATGGTCGAAGCCTTATGCAATGAGAATGCCTTTCTCACCTCTAAATAGGATTGTCAATTTGTCGGATTTTGGCCTGACCTAAAGTTGGCCCAGCCCGAATATGATTGATACAAACCAGACCTATTGACCATACGGGTCAAAGTTTTTTTACCCGAACCCACATAATTTGAACCCAACCTGAATGATTATTTGATTAATTTTCAATCAATTTTTTGTTTTTAGGTCAAACTGAACCAGACCCGTAAATTAATCAAATTATATTTCAAATCTGAGCTTAACTCAAATAATAATAGGACCAACTTGAACCAAAATATTTTGAGTTTGGTTCAAATCGGGTCGTCATAATGGGTCAATTATTGACAACCCTACCTCAAGCATCATATTTAACACATTATATGGATAGCACTTGATAGTATATAAAGTCTGGCCACAGAGTTAAAAATAATGATTCATGAAAATGCAAATTTAACATCATATTTGGGTAAAATTTGTAATGGTTTGTTCACTGATTAGTAAGCCTAGTTTTCCAAAGCATGTTTTTCAGTGCTGCCAGATGGATGTTACAGTCCAAAGCAATACCTAGTCAAGGCCATAGTACTTGACTTCAGATTAGGGATATCCCGTGCAATGCTTGCAAGGTTAAAAGATCGACAAATGAAGCAATTGTAGCTATAAGTAGAAAGGTTTGTTCTCCTATATATGCCGCCTGAAACATGAAGACTCCAAACATTTTGTCGCTGCAGATAGATAGAACAGATACCCTGAGCTTGAAATATGAAAAGGAATAATCAAGAATACAAGTATTAAACAACAAGTGCTAACTCTACCAATATACAATACTTCTAAGAGAGTAAATACATAGCATTTATTGTATTTTAAGAACGAACCTAACTTCTTCCTAATTTAACAATCCATGCACATACATTAAGGCTTCGTTTGGTTATTCTGTGCTTTTCCTAAAAGGTAGTTTTAAAACTATTTGAGAGAACGGAGTTTTTCAACGGAGAAGTTAATATCAGAAAGTTTTTAAAAATAGTACAAAAACAACGGTATTCAGAACGTGTTTAAGAAAAGTAATTTTATCAAACAAATAATTTTTTCTGCTTTACCGTTGCCGGACGGAAAAAAACAATAAAAACAAACAAACAAATGAGCCCTAAATGTATTACATGTGATTGTGAAGTCATACAAAAGGTGCACGTAGTGTGTTGGACTTTCAGTAACATATTTTGTGCATAAATCAAAGTTCTTATATGCTTGATTTCTGAATAAAAAAATCAAGAGAAAGGCTTTACCAAACGTAGTTCAAGTTCAAATATGATGCTAGAATTGTAAAGATCTAGAAAAATTTTAAAGGAAGACATACTACTAAAACTAGAGAACAAAAAAGAGAGTGTCAAGTCCTACCAAAATATGCTTTGTGAGCCGAGAGTAGTGGTAGACTGGCATATGGTAGTGTGATTAAAAATAATAAAATCTTGACAAAAATAATTGCCCCCCCCTCCCCCCCGGGCACCCCCCCCCCCCCCCCCCTAAAAAAATATTTTTTCATGAATCTTTTAGGTTTAATTTTGTCTCCCCTCCAGCCTTTTTTACTCTTTATTTAGGCAATTGCCCCCCTAAAAAAATTAAAATACTATGATCTTTAGGTGATTGCCCCCTAGTAGAATTAAAAACATTGTATAGATGTGTTATTTATAAATTTACCCTCACAAAGAACTAAGGTTGGTTCCGCCTGTTGTTGAAGCCTTCAAGAAATCTACTAGTCGAATAAGTTGTATGTTCATTGATTGGGGTCAATCCTATTTTATCAACCCTAATACTAAATTAAATGCAAACCATTCAGACTCATATGGATTATTATAGGTTGAACAAGAATATCCCATCATTAGATTATTAATTAGACCATTAAGTAACTAAAAAAAATGTTAGCCGGTACAACTAAACATATGATGAATGAGCATTCAAACGCAACAATAAGAAAACAATACACAATGAATGAATGCTAAAGAGACAAACAAGGGAAGGAAGGGAAATAAGATGAAGATTACCGAAGAGAATGAAGATAGAGAAAGGCCTGGTAAAAGACGCCAGTTCTTCATTTCTGAGCCCTGTAGATCAGAACGACATTTAAATTATGGATAAGCAGCAACAAATATAAAGGGAAATCCGTCAAAGTAGCTAATACCTTTAATGGATTAGACCATACATTATTATTGATAACACCTAGTTCATATGATAGTTGTAAGGACCCTCCGACAGCCATTGCTGACATTTAGCTATGATGAATAGGTGATGCACGCCACACTAATAAATCATAAAGCGCTTTAACCCGGTATTCCAGAGCAATAGTAGGTCTTCTCTGAAAGAAAATATTTGGGGAAAATAAAAGCTCCAGAAATTATAACGCTAGGCGCGCCAGCACGCCAGGACCTGCCTCAGAAAAACATCACTTATGTACAGGAAGTCGATCGACCACTTTTTAATAGTCAGAAACGAGGCTCTCTCCTCTTTTGCCGGACCAAAGAGCCCCAAAATTCAGAAAATCGGTACACATTTGCTCGATTTGTCAATCAATCCAATGTTGCGCTCAGAAGTTCTATGTTTTCAAAAACCAAATGAACCAAAGAAATACGCTGGTAGAGTTAAAAAACAAACTTTTGCCATGAAAAACCAAAACCTCAAACCCACAGAAACAATGAAAGCTACAAGCATAAGGCTGTCATATCTATTGAAACGCAAATAAATATATTTGCTCTCCCTCTTGTGTTAACGTAAGTTATCGAGTCCTCTCCCACAAATTCGGTACATGAGAAATCAAAGAACAGGAGCTTACCCTGCAGCCGAGAAATGGAATCGACCAGCAGTGTATTTCCGTTCTTCGTTGCGTCCGTGCGGGGAGAAGACAAAAGTGGGATACAGCACGCAAGGCTTAAGAAAAAAGCGGTAGATCATAGAGTTCGCGGCGTCGCGGCCGTGTTCCGCCACGCGACTGGAATGCTGAGTTATCCCGCTGGATTGCTTGTCGAACTTGCAACGGAAATGTGGGATATTTGGAGACGCATCTTTCACAAGAGCAATGATTCTAGAATAATTAAATTTCATTATTTTAATGTTTTATTGAATTTATACTTATATATCATGAAATTTTTATATATTTAAATAAAAACAAATTATTTTATAATTTAAGATTATATGTTTTATTTAGTATTTCATAATTAATAAATATTTCATTATTTGGGTTTACTGATTAGTACATTATATAATCAAATAAATAATTTTATTATTTTATTATTATTATTATTATTATATTATATATATTAATTAATTGGTATTTATTGATTCATATGCATTAACTTACTTGTTGTTTTTTTAATTAAATATGTGGCAGTGTATAGTTTTAATTTTATAATTTAATCAAATTTTATGAGATAAATTTTGAAACAAGCACGAAGAGCTAAGATGCCTGTGTCTCCTCTTCTATAGGGAATGTAGTGATATGAGTTAAAGAATTATGGGTATCTTCGACTTGCTTTCATATTCATGTTTTATGTCCTACGAACTTCTTCAAGTCGAATGCCAAAGTCGCCATTCAATATGCGACGCTAATATTGGAACTGCACTGTTCACAAAGGCAATTATTTTTTTGCAAAAATGAGAAAGCGATAGTTAGAGAAGGTGGCTAGAACATGTGGCTGAAAAGAATATACACATATTTTTTATGTTAAGTAAATAGGTTCGGTCGGAATTAAATTACTGTATTTTAATAATATTTTTGTATTTTTTAGTGAAAAATGTAATTTTTTGGGTTGGACATGATCTTAAGATGAATGGAATGTGAAGAGAGAGAGGAATAGAAGAAGATAGCAGAGTTGTGACAGAAGTTTAAAAGTGATTTGACATTAGTTTTGCACTTGATGTAAGGCATCATTAATAACAATTTCTTTTTTTGTCAGCGAAGCTACAACCTTCGCTCTAAGGAGTTCTTTGATTTGAATTACAATGGGTGTAAATTGTAAAGTATTTTGAATTGTAAGTATTATGAAAATATTAAAGTAATTTATTGAAAATTAAGTAGATATATTATAAAAATTTTGTGTATTTGGAACTACTCATTTAGTAACAAAATTTTACATATTTATAAATTCAATAACACTTGGAGTGATTTCTAAATACATTGTAAAATTTATGATCCAGCCAACCACCAGTCGACTCAGACACCCTTCGTAATCGGCCACTGGCTCCTGCGCTACCCTCCATCTTAAACCTTCTATAGTCCAATTATAATATATATTATAGTCATAAATGTGAGTTGTACTAATACTATTGATGATCAATCGTTAGCCTATTCTTGAAATCAGTTAAAAGTTATTCTATGAGGTGATACGTCACCAAAATTTACATTGATTGAGCATGAATCTCAACAGGCAATCCAGATTGAAACTTTCAAAATAAATTATGAGACTCATCATACTGATCTCCACAATTTCAAGCAATATATCGTCAAAAACTGTAACGTTCAAAGACGATGAAAACCTAACGTCAAAATCTAGTCCAGCCCCAATCCCAAGATGGGTCCAAACGGGAGGCCACAACATCACTTTGAAGGGTCAAAAGTCGTATTTTTGGATGAAATAAATGATATTCAAATATGGCCCATGCTTTATATATGTCTCAAATCGTAGCGGACCTCTAACGATCGAATTCTTAATGGCGCAAGATCTCCTGGAATTTCATGACCATCTATTATAGACACCTAAACCAATTTGAAAAAAACTTCTTCTATGATCAGGGAATTTCAATACGAGCCATCCAATGGAGCACTCTGAACCCACCCCGGGTCTTCTTTATTATTACGACATGTGCCACTCAAGAAAATCTATAAATATACCCTCAGTCTCTTTATTAAGGGGACCATTTGGGCTAAAGATTGGAGAGAGTTTTGAGGCTTCGAGAGCTACAACACCACCTTGCGGTGAACCCACATCGACTAACATCAGATCACCGTCGGACTTCCACCCTGCAGCCGACCGTTACCAGACTTCAGCCCAACCTTTATAGGATCACCGCTTGGCCGCCGATCACCGTTGGTCTTCCATCCAACCGTCAGTCGCCACCGAACTTTAGCCTGACCATCGTCGGACAATCTCCTGGCAACCGACCACTGCCGGACTTCCACCCAGCCGTCGACCGCCGCCAAACTTTAGCTCGACCGTTGTCAGACCATCGCCCGGCAGCCAACCGCTGCCGTACTCCCATCTGGCCTATCATAACCCAACCCGACCAGGACGGATCCTATCATGTTGAGTTGCGACGGTGAATTTGCTTTTCAGACTTCCTTCCCATATTCTTTCACAATACATAATCATAGAGCTACTAAAAACTTTCAAATACAAAAAAACTCATCCACCAAAATATATTTCTTTCATTCATCAAAATAATCATATGTGATATATTCTCAAAAAATCATATTGATCAAGCACGAATCTCGAGGCGAAACCAAATAGAAACTTCAAAAATTAAATTCAGGAGCATCTGAACTCCAATTTCAGCGAGCTTATAGTCAAACTGAGCGTCTCGGAAATACGAACCCAACGACACCAAATTCAACTCAATCTAAGCCAAAATCAAGAACCCAAAGCGCTGTTGAAAAGCTCATACCATAATTTGAGTTACCAAACGGTCTCTGATTTTAACGAGCTTATAGTCGAATCAAACGGCTCGACGAGACGAATCTAACAAGCCCAAGATCGCCGGATTCCAACATCACTAAGGCCTTCAAATGACTGACGAATAGTGTATGATCAAGGGATTCAATATCTGTCGTCCATTCGACCGCTCCCTATTTGTCCCTGATCTCACACCTATTTACAAGTCATGCCACTTCATAAAAACTATAAATAGGCCCCTCATTTCTCATAAGAGGGGACTCAAGCAAGAAGAAGGAGAGAAGAAGAAGAGAAGAAGAAGAGAAGGGGAAGGAGAA